CTGGGCCCGCTCCTGCTGCAGAGAGAGCTGCTGGGGTTAGCACAGGGACTTCAGACTCCCCTTCCTCTAGCACTCCCGGTCCTTCCGCCGCTGCCCGAGGCTGAATCTCACTGCTGTTCCAGTCCTACTCTCACCTCGAGGCTCACACGCTTTTATTTACCAAGGAAATGTTTTTAGAACCACTTTCCTTTTCAGACTACACCCTTTCTCAGAAAGCCTGTGGACGCAGTCTGTGATGCCTCAGGAGCCACAGCCCTGCTCCCGGCCCCACACGGAGCCCTGGGCGGAGCCGCCCCTTCCTCTGCCTCCTCTCCCCGTGCTGTCCAGCCTCCAGAATCCCGGTGCCCTCCTCCTGCCGCCCTTCAAGCTCTGCAGGGGGTGCCCTCCTCCTGCCGCCCTTCAAGCTCTGCAGTGGGCTCCTGGGGCCTCTTCTGCTCCTCTCAGCCCTGATTCACCTCACCTGTGTTTGTGGAAGAGGCAAAGGTCACAGAGAAACAGAGAACTCTGTTTAGAGGCTTAAAAAAACAAACCCTTAGGTATTTAAGCCTGCTGATGCTACCATCACCATGCACCCAGCTAGAACAGGCACTGGATTGCACACCATATATTTCATGAGACGCAGAGACACAAAAATGCCTGTGGGATTTTTGTGGGACTAGATGGGATTCTCCTTACTTCTTTGGTTTGCTTAGGTCCTTCGAGAGTGTCACCTCTTTTCTTTCTGGGTGACTTTTCTTCGCCCTCACAGTGCTGATGTCCACTGCTTGGAGGCACACATGGGCTTGGTGACTTTATTTGCTCTGAATCATTCCCAAATTCTTCATGAAATATGCATCTTGCATGAGTGCTTTAGGGACAAAGGCCTCTCCAGATAGAATGCCAGTGTGCCCTTCATTTGTCTTTGCTTCAGTGCTGTGCCCAGGTAATGGGTGGTCTGGGCAAGGAAGGTTGCCAACCTGCCCTCTCTAAGCTGCCCCTTCACAGCAAAATCGTATTACCCAGGGCTTCTGCACTGGCTCTCCTGGGGTTAGATGGAGAGGTTAACAAGGCAGGCACAGGTGCTGGGGCACAGATGGGTTTAACTGGGGGTAAGGGTGCGGAGGAGCACACACCGGCCCATACGCAATGAGCCAGGACTCCCCTGCTAATATGGGCAGATAAGGACCATCCCAAAAGAACATGAATATCAGCAAAGGAACTAAGGAGGGAAGACCCAACACAGAGGAACTCAGCGATGACGTGTGGGTGGACGGCAGAGATGGTGCCCTGTCTGGTGGCCCCTGTCTCCCTGTGTCACTCCTGTGCTCCCACATGCTGACTTCTCAGGTCGCTGCTACCTGGCTCTTCAGACAGGGAGTTCTTCCTGCGCCTTCTCAGAGCTGAAAGGCCCCTTCAGGGAGACGGTGCCCTGACCTGACCGTGCTGCCAAACCTTGAGGACGCACAAGTGTTCCCTCCTGTGGAGTTTACCTCGGGACTCCGCCACCATGATTCACTCCTCCCCTTCATCTGCTGGAGAGTACCGGGCACACAGTAGGCACTCAATAAATACCCAAATTGAAGGGTAGAAAACTAAACTAGCCTAAACAGAAATAAAAGCAGGTGAAGGGCTGGCTTAAATGGCTTTAAACGGAAATTTTTCACAGACAGAAGTTCTGGACTGGACCAAAATGAATGATCCTTCATTTAGTTTCAGCCTGTTCCAGATTGGCGGTCAGGAACAGCAGAGATCCTGACACTGCAGACCAACCGAGCTGTCTGTTTCCGTCACTATCCTTGCCCGTGCTGGCTGGGCGGAAGGCCTTTGACTGAGTTTTCATGTGCAAGGGAGTCAGCAGCCAGGCTGGCTACTGGGCGTTTAACTGGGTTAGATAAGTTCTTCAGCTGGGACTTTGAAGCTGTGACATTTGTAAATTAAACTTATGTTTAACTGGTACCAAAAAACTTGTACATACTCATGGGGTAGCACGTGATGTTTTGAAACCTGTGTACATTGAATAATGTTTAAATCAGATTATCGAGTCTGCCTCTCCAGACATTATCATTGCTTTGTCTTGAAACATTCTTTCTTCTGGAGTCTTTGAAATCCACAGTATGCCTTTATTGTCTGTAGTTACCCCACTGTGCCGAGCGCCCAGAACTCCTGGCTCCTGTCAACTGTAACTTAGCACCAGGGATCCACCGGCCCCTCTCTCCCTTCCCTTATTTGCCCCACCTCTGGTACCCACTGTCCTCCTTTCCACTCTGGTGGGATCCAGGTTTTTAGGTTCCATGCAGGGCCTGTCTTTCTGTGCCTGGTAATTTCCTTTAACCTAAAGACTTCTGTTCCATCCCCTTGCTGTGAAGGCCGTGATTTCTTTCTTTGTTGAGTTTGTGCAGGGCACTCCTTGTCTTTGATCAGCTGGTGGGTCTGCAGGTTGCTTTCGAGTCGTTGCTGGTGGGGAGCAGAGGGTGAGCACAGGAGAGCAGGTGTCCCCGACATGCTGACTTCGCTTCCTTTGGTATGTGCGCCATGAGGGGGGTTGCAGGGTCACGCTAGCTCCATCCTCAGCCTACTGGTTTCCACTATGGCTGTGCCAGTTTGCACTCCTGTCTCCTGTCCTTGGCAGCACCTGCCATCTTTGTCTTTGACGTAGGCCTTCCACCTGGACTCGAGTGGAGGTTCACTGGGTTCTGATTTGCACTTCCTTGATGGCTGGTAATGCTGAGCATTTTTTCCTATGCCTTTTGGCCACTTGTATGTCTTCTCTTGAGAAATGTCTGTTTAGGTCTATTGCATATTTTTTAATTGGTTTTTCTGCTCTGGAGTTTGGGGCATTCCTTATATATTCTGGATACCAGCCCACGGTCAGAGGCAAAGTTTGCTGATGTTTCTTCCCAACCTGTGAGCAGCCTTTTCCTTTTGATGATCATTTCCTTGGCTGTACAAAGGCTTTTAGATTGGGATAACCCCCTCCTTCTCTTTTTGTGTTTTGTGTGCTCTTGGGGTGTTATCCAAAAACTCCCTGCCCTTTCCAATGTCCTGAAGTGTTACCCCTGTTTCTCCTGATAGTTGCACTGTTTCAGGTCTCATGGAGAAGCTTTAATCATGCATCCTGCTGCGTGTGGATATCCGACTTTCTCAGCATCACTTTTGGAGATGGTCATCTTTGCCCAATGTGTGTTGTGAGCACCATGTGGAAAACACCTGGCCATATATATGGATTACTTCTTAGCTCTCTCTCCCGTTCCTTGGGCTACGAGTCTGTTTTTACACCAATGCTGTGCCGTTTTGATCCCTCTGACGTGGTAGTCCATGCATCCTGCTTCTTCCTCCTTGCTCAGGAAGGCTTTGGCCATCTGAGGATTTTCTGCATGGACTCTCTGACCAGGTTGCCTTCATTCTCTCAATCCAGCATCTTCCACCTCTCAGTCTTCAGCTGTGTCTTCCTTTTTGGGTAGAGCAGGCTGTGCTTTGTGGATGTTAGCTCATGAGAGGTCCCTGCAGGGACGTGACCAAGGTCCTGACCTGTGGGTGGGAGATGCAGGGTGGATGGGGGAGCACCTGGAGGGGGAGGGAATGTGGAATAGCACATGAAACCTGAAAGAGGAACATGCCTGGGAGCCACCTGAATGCAGGGACCAAGGAGCAAGGGAGGCAAAGTCACCGAGGGACAGTCAGGAAGCTCAGGCCTGGAGAGTCCAGCCTGGACAGATGAGCTCTGGAGGCTCCCGCCTTCCCAGTCCCTCCCCATTGCCTGTTTGCTTCCTGCGCCTCCTTCCTCCTCTCTCCCTACATTTTCTGCCTCCACTTTTCTTCATATTGTAGGCAATAGCTGTTCTTCCAAGAATTTTACGCATGGAAAGGACATTATTTAATTTGATTTTTAGTGGGAAAAAAACTGAACAGTAACCAGAATATAGGGTTAAAATTCTATTCTAGTTCTTTCCAGCTGTGTGACTTTGATTGACCTCAATTCCCAGCAAAATATGGGTAATGTCTCTGCCTCTTGGGATCTGGGTTATTGGGGTCAGGGATGATAACACACTGTTTTGCCATGAACCAAGTATAATAATGCAAAAGATGTGTTATCGCTTTTGAATAATTTGTTAGTCTACACCTTTGAAAGGCCTAGCTTCAAGACAGTCAGAATCCACTGAGTATCAACGAAAAGCACAAACACAGCACAACTCGCCTTCTGTTCATCACCCCCTCCACGGTCTGGAGCTTCTTGGGGTTTCTGAGAAGTGAGAGTCAATCCAGGTCTTGGCCTGAGAGGGAACTGACACGGGAGGCTGCAGGCCAGGTGGAGAGGTGTACAGAGGGGCTGTAACCAACTCCTGCTTGATGTGTAGCTCTGGTCACTTGTAACCCTTCCTGAGGTCAAAGCACCCACCTTGGGACAGTCTGCCTGGGTGAGTGTGTTCCAAAGGCCACGCACTGAGGTGTTCAAAAGCCTTCATTTGGTCTTTACTAAATATAGACAATGGCTTCTGACCTCATGCACCACAGGACACTCAATATAGGACAAAGAGTAAGTGTTTAATTATTTTAGTGTACAGAATCAGTATAGTGCATTGGAAGTCTGCTTTTCCAAAAGGAATAATAAAAATGTATCATCACATTGAAAACATTTGTTATTTGTGAAAGCTGTAAGAATGTCTTACTATATTTCAATGTAATAATCCAGAATTCCAGATACATGAGCTTATGGCCTTCTCAACTTGAGCAACACTGCAATAAGCTGTGTGACCTATGACATCAAAAGTCATAAGTAAATGTTTGGAAATGACAAATTATGAAGTTGGCTTTTACCACTTAGTGTTTTCATTCATGTTTAACAGTGTTGCAACAATATTTGGTGAGTATCATATAGGCCAAAAATTTAAGGATTATTATCAATTTGTATTAACTATAATTAGCATTTGATTTGGTGACCTTTATTATTTTCTTCATAGCTTTATTCATTTTTTCAGTACATTTTATCATACAAGAATAATCTTTTCTAAATTTTACTTTAGGTTTTGAAACTAACATGAACCTAACTGGACGGGATGATCCTAATACATCAGAAATTGCTTCGGAGACTCAAGATAGAAATGCAAATAACCATGGAATTCAATTATCTAATTCACTATCTAGTGCTATTACTGCTGAAAATGGAAATTCCGTCTCAAATGGTAAGTACTTTTAAACTTAGAAGTAAATGGATGAAAGTTTTAAGCTGTATCAACTTTCTAGGAAGAATGAATTTAAAATATAAAAATGGAGTAGGCTTAATAACTGGAAAATAGGATCTAAACTGTGAACTGCACTGCAGGTATTATTGTCAGCATATTATCGCCTGGGTTAAGGAATTAAAATTGCACTCACTATTTGTGACTTTTCAGAAAGCTTTACAGTATTGGTCCATAAGAGCCAGTGTAAAATGAGTTTAAACTAAGAAGAAGGAGGAAATAGATGCTCCACCAATAACTTCAATTAAAAATATTTTTCTCATAATTAATAAATGTGAAACAAATTAATCTTGAAGGAATAGAAATAAATGCCAAAGTCCCTTCAGGTGTTTGAAGGGCATTAATGAGAACATTGCGTGGGAATCGGCTTGGCTGCAGGTATCTCAAATTGTGGAAACAGATATTTTTTCTCCTGTATAAAAGATGCCTACAGCATCTAGCCATGACTGGCCATGGTTTCCCTGGGCACATCCAGAAGAGCTGGGAAAAAGTCTTTTTGTTCAGTCTGATTGAAGGTGCTAGAGAACATTCAAGACAGAGAGCTACTGGAGGGGGCTGAAAGGGAGACAGGAGGCTCTGAGGCCAGAAGGACCGTCCTCTGGCTTTCCTCCCACGCAGGAGGCACATCCTGGCCCCGTGAAGGCAGCCAAGAAGCCCACCTGTGCTTCCTGTGGCCTGCTGGACTCTAGGTGCAAAGACCAAGCCTAGGACCAACCAGGACCTTCAGGGAGGGATTTCAAGTACCTATTCCAAAAGTCGGTGGCCAGACCCGGGAACCACGGCTCAGCCGTGAAACATCTCAACCTAAAGATGACCCAGGTGCTGCTGGAGCAACAGGGCCCACGGTTTCCAGGGAGAAACACGTGAACTCTCCCTAAAGACAATAATTGCATCCCAACCTCAAAATATTCCTGCAAACTGATTTTCAAATACAAAGTCCAACACACAGTCAAAAGCAGTAAGACAGGTCGGTGAGAAATCACTGCAGAAATAGCTGTCAGTCACAGCATATCCACAAGGAAGGGCTCAAAAGATTGGAGTCCAAAGATGTACACCTTCAAGTAAGAACGTGTGCCCTGGCCGTGTGGATGGGAGCACGGGGGGTTCAGCAGAAACGGGCAATCAAGAACAAAATAAAACACACACAGATTGTCAGATGGAAATTCTAAAATTGAAAAATTCAGTAATAAAATGAAGCATGATAGAGGATGAAATTAAACTTAATTAGACACGGTTGCTTAAAACAAAACAGAACCATCAGGGGAAATGGAAGATCATAGAGAACCTCCGGGGGGGGGGGCACAGAACAAAGAGAAGGGGGAAGACATGGCCCTGCTGGGCCTGGCCTGGGGAGAGCGCCTGCTGAGCATGGGGGCCACCCCGGGTTCTGTCCCAGCCGCTGGAGGGCTGCTGGAATCCTAGGACCAGGGCACATGGACGTGGCCAGAGGACAGACTCGGTGAGAAACGTTGGTGAGGTTTCCCACCCTGGCCCCAGCACTGAGGAAAGCGGTGAGTGGTGCTGACTGTAAAACCCGAGACCCTCCTTCCAAACCCCCCAGTGGGCCTGCTGCTGGCGTCCACTGGAGGGAAAGGGAAGCAGTGCACAGGAACAGCTGGACACAAGGCTGACAGCACCTTCGCGCATGATCACCTGGGCCTAGTGTGATCTTTCCACTGGCGCCTGGATGGCCGCAGTTATCCATGCTGTGCAACACCTGCCCCCACCTCCCAATCCCTACCCCACCCCATCCCCGGCCTCCAACCCTTCCACACCCTCGGGCAAGGAAGATCTTAGAGGCTTTGTGCATCAAATGGTTGTGATTTTGTATTTTTTAGGGTCAGGAAGCTGGGCATGGCTCTGCAATGTGCCCTTGTTTAGCTTCCTCGTGAGGCAGGCATCAAACCAGCAGCAAACCCAGGTTTGGCTGAGGGATGGTGCATTTCCAAGGTCATGTGTGGGGTTTTTGCAAGCCTCAGAGAATCCTAGTCAGTCCATTCACATGGCCTCTTCCTAGAGCAGCCTCATAGCCGGGCAGCAGGCTTCCCCCTGGGAAAGCACAGAGCAGCCAAGAAGAGAGCTGCAGTCTCCTTGGTGAGTCCACACTGCATGAGGACGGAGCCCGTGAGCTGAGTGCCCAGAGGCGGGCTCACTGGAGCTTCTTACAGGGCACCTCACAGGGCATCCTACAGGGCACCTTATAGGTATCCTGCAGGACACCCTACAGGGCACCCTACAGGGCACCTTACAGGGCATCCTACAGGGCACCTTATAGGTATCCTGCAGGGCAACCTACAGGGCACCTTACAGGGCATCCTCAGGGCACCCTACAGGGCACCTTACAGGGCATCCTCAGGGCACCCTACAGGGTATCTTACAGAGCATCCTCAGGGCACCTTACAGGCCATCCTCAGGGCACCCTACAGGGCACCTTACAGGGCATCCTACAGTGCACCCTACAGGGCATCCTCAGGGCACCCTACAGGGCACCTTACAGGCCATCCTCAGGGCACCCTACAGGGCATCTTACAGGCTTGACTAGCACACGGTGGACTCTGTAGCCGATGGGAACAACCCTCTACTGTGCACAAAACAGAACAAACAGCAGCAGAAACCCAAGAGACAATCTGCGATGGTGCAGATGACTGGGCAAACAGAACCTGAAGGCCACAGTGCACTCCTGCAGATACAGGAGTGGGTGCCAGAGCGGGGGTGACGGCAGGAGCAGCCTGCAGAGGCACACCAGGTGCTGCCGACACACAGAGGCTGTGCTCCTGCAGGCCAGGGACGTGCACCCTGAGGAGGACCCACCCGTCTGTGTAGTAAGCCCAACTGAGCCTGGCTTTTATTTTTAAATTCAAACCTACGGAAAGCCTGAGTAGAAAAATGAAAATAAAACCACTGCCAGGGTCATAGTGAGATTCTTGTAAAATAAAGGCTAACCACGAATCCTAAAGCAGCCAGGGGTTTAAAAGAGGCAAATGACCACCAAAGGAGCAGCTGAGGCCCAAAGACAAGTAGAAGGGCATACTTCACATGCTCAAAGAAAATAACTGGTGACACCAATTTTTAAAAGTAACAAAAAATTCCTGTAAAAATGAAAGGGAGTTAAGAATATTTTTAGAAAAAAAATAAAAACATAAAGGATTAAGCATTTGGTGGACTTGGAATGCTCAGAGGTAGAGGAAGGCATGAAAAATCACTTAAAAGGTGAGTGCAGTCGGTAGCAAAACTCTCTAATATCATACAGGACAAATCCCACCTGCCAGCTGCATCCTCAACGTCAATCAACTCAAAAGATGGAGAAGAGGGCAAAAGAGGCCTGACCACCTGAAAGGCGGAACAAGTGGGTCTTGGTGGAAGGTCTAAGGACGTACATGGAGAAAACTTAAAAGAATTAAACTCTAAAGGACTCGTTTAGTGCAAACTGTGGCATGAATAACTCATAACACAGTACTTTACAGACTAAGAGCTCTCCTGCCAGGCTGGTGACACGGGAGGGTACTGAGAGTCCACACAGAGGGGAAGCTAGGGCTCCACAGTGTTCAGAAGTTCTTGAATCCAGAAATCCATGCATTCAAGAAAAAAAACAAAGTCTGAATTGAAAACCAAAATATTCCAACTAACGTCCGTGAAAATAAGACAGAACCTGTGGGGGGTGGCTGAGGTCTCAACGGATGGTCACAGGTAGCTTTAAACCTATGTGCTAGGAGAGAAGGGGGATCCAAATAAGGGTGGAGGAGCAGAAAATAAGCACCAAGAAAGTAGGAGGGAAGATGCAGTAAGGCAAGGACATACTTCACTGAAATACAGAGAACAAGACCAATGTTGGTTCTTTGGGAAAAGAAGTGTTCCTTGGAAACATTAACAGACTTGATAATCCACTAGCCAGGGTGACAGAATAAAGAGGGTGCAAAAACGAAAAAAAAAACAACACACATATTCTAGGGGAGAAAGGGATGCCCCCTCCCATCTGTGGGGGGGGGGTCATTGATGTGTGCGGCAGCTACAATCCCACAATGTTTTAAAAAACTAGAGAGATGGGAAAGGGGTGTCCACGCAGGCGCAGGAAGGAAGGGAATTTCCCTCCCTCAAAGGTTTAATTTTTCAGAACTTTGAGGCTAAAGACAAAAGCTACCACTTGGGAAAGGGTCTTAGAAAACTTAATACAAAAAGCTCCAAGTCTTGCTCTACAAAAATTTCACCGAAATGCAAAAATCAACCATGCAAATGAAACCGCTCCAGACCCAAATGGAAATGTTCATGGAACATGCTCCTTGAGATTGATACCAGAGAACTGAGCCTTTGGCAATCGCAGGCTTCTAAACTCCAGCATGAAACAAATAGTGCAGGTCCATACCCTGGACACAGATTTATGTGTTTTCCCTTAAATGCTTATGGCAAGCAGATTTTAAAGCTGTTCCTGTGTGGACATTAATTGAAGATCACTTGAAAATCTCGAGTTATGTGCACAAAAGAAAAATCATTTCAATTGGGGAACAGTCTCTCAAAGCAACTGGACGTGTATACGCTGGTCTACTCTTGTGAAAACCATCAATTTCTGGATGCCCGACACTTTCCCCAGGACTATTAAAATATCCAGCTGCATGCCCTGTGTACCAGGGTTCCTCTAGGCATCCTCTGATTGAAACAGTGATGGATGTTGCAGATGAACCAGTAAGTGCTGTGCAGAGGACAGAGTCAGGAGGTTTCTCCATCTGTATTGGACAACTTGAACAAATGTCCCTGTGTGCAGCATTTGATCTGGTCACGATAACACTTAAGGCAATTAACGGTACAGAATCATAATTCAGATAGTACAGTGTCCTTTCTAAATAAAGGCACAAGATGAAAGTAAATGTTTAAAATAACTTAAAGTTCTAATTGGAACAGAAATAGTGTTATTTTCTAGGAAATGATTTCTCTTTTGAATGCCAGTATCT